CATTTATTTAAGAAGTTTTCTAGGTTATGCCAACACATAGTGGAGTGTCCCTCTACTGTTATACCAAGGCATTTATTTTCAATTTAACACAATTTAAAACATTAAGGAGTTCAACACAATCTTTTCAATCATTTAATGCCACAATGCAAAAAAAGTTCTACCCTAAAATTTTTGTAAGCACCTTAAGCAGAGAAACCATACAATCGTGTTGCAAGATCACAAAGCATCAAGTCCTAGGGTAGGCTCTTTCCTTAAACATTTATGTGAAATAATTTTGGCCTAGGAAATAAAATTTTCTTTCATAATCGAGCATCCTCAACTTATTCCAACAACTATCCTAATGAAATTCATGCCATGACAAAAAATATTTCAACCATTTATTATCAAATGAAATTAACCTAAGTATGGAGTACAACACCTACCCCAAACTTGAGGGATGTATTATCCTCAATGCATGAATATGAATGCAAGGAAAATGTCTCGAACATGCGGATGCAAATGCAAATGCAAATGCAAGAATGGTACTTTATTGTGGTGGAGAGGCTCGGCTGGACGAGCAGGTTATGCGTCATTTAAGAGGAGGGGGCTTTCGTATCCAGTGTCATATGAAGAAAGCTCGGTTGAAGATGGCATAGCGATACGTCTGACTCTATGCTTGAGGTGATGCCTTATCCTTACGGTACTTGCTGGTGATGGCATCTCCTTAGTGTGCAAAGGTTCAGTAAGGATGTCGTGTGGTTGGCTTGCTTTAGGATCAATAGCGAGTTCAACATTCAAATTCAGTTGATGTTCAAATGCTTCTTCAAGAGTAGGCTGGTCAGGGACTGGGAAAGCAAAATCTGTGATCGGGGCCAAATCATCATCATCAAAGAATTCTGGTGGGATTTCTTGAGTATACTTGAAAGAAGATGAGGAGGAACTGAGATATTCATATGTTACACCATGGCCTTCTTCGTGTATAGGGGAGACATGTGTGGCAAGAGGAGTGACATTCAATGGGGACTCGGGTGGAACATGTTGTACCGAGGTAAAAAATGTAATGCCGCCAGTAAGGACTGATTGGCGTAGGATTTCATCGGGAAAATATGGCAGTTCTTCATTGGTAACTGGAAGCAGTTTCTTGAAGAAAACATTCATTTGGGCATCTCACACTTTGACATACTTGAAGAAGGGCTCCATGTGACCCTCCAAACATTCCAGTCATTGTCATCAAAACACATAAGCTCAGTCACTTTCTTTTTGGTGATGCCTTTCTTCGACTTAATATAGTCCTCGAAAGACTCCTCAGGGACCTTTTTCTTCCTACACAAAGCGGTGATTAAATTGGGAAAAAGTAGATTACCTCAGGTCCTCTTTGCACACTCGTGGATTTGCTCAAAAATTATCTCGCCCACATCGATCACATGCCCGTAGATGATTGAGTGGAGTAACATTAAGCGCTGCACCAATATTGTTGTTTTGCTAGGTAGGCATCAGCTTGCCTTTCAAAAAGTTGTTCCACAGTTTGGTTACTAGCTTAAGGTTTTGGCAATCCACACGCTTCCGGTTGGGCCCATTCCCTTAAAACTTAACCCAGCGGAAACACAAATCCTCCAGCACACCATCGTATGTCTCTAAATCTGCCTCGGCAAGAAATGTTTTATGCTTATCCTCTATCTTGATTAGCTTAAAGTAGCAGTTTAAGGAAAAATGAGTGAACTAGATGGATTTCCCTCTAACATACATAGTGTGCTGGGATGGGTCACCTAGGTGGGCATAAAACTCTTGGACCATGGCTGGCGCCACCGCCTTTAGGTGCTGGGCAAATTTCTCGCACTTATGCTTTCAGACGATGTCCATTACTTCCTACCTAAATGGTTCTTTTCCAGTCTCAAGGAAGACAAACCTGTCATGTATGTAAACTTGTCATTTTTGCAGGGCCTTGAACTTTGCCTCGACCTCGGCGGTTTGGAAGCGTTCGAAGCATGTAGCAACGGCAGAGGATGTAAAGGCACTAGTATTTTTATTCAATCAAGCCATGAGCAATAGAGTTTAATGGAAAAACAAGTGATTTTTATGGCAACTATAGAGGGTTTTAGGAGGTTGAAAACTCAAAGAAAATAAACGAAAAGATGGAGAATAAAGTAAAAAAGAAATGGTGAGAGGTAAAAGATAAAGGTAGGTGGTTTTGGAGGAAAAAGATGGGTAGTGTGTGGCTTCTTGAGAGTAAATCGGTAAAAATACATAGGGAAGTAAGATATGGTATTAAATGGGAAGATATTTGAGTTAAAAAAATTAATAAAATAAAGAGAAAGATATTTGTTTCCCTCTCAAAAGTGTCACCAAAACTAATATCTTAGGGTTTAACTTCCTTCCATGTATGAGTGTGAACCCTATACTTCCACGTGTACCATAACTACTAAAAGAGACAAAATACGAGATTAAAATAGAAATAAACAACTAGTGAAAAATAAAAAAAAATAAAAACAAATTATTTATGTATATAGCACAAATTATTGTTGCCTAGGCAACAAAATTTTCACAGGGAAGATGGGCAAACTGTTGGGCATCGTTGAGTAACGACGCCGATTTATCATGCAGAATGGGTGCTCCATTGTACATCTTGAGTCGTTGACCATTCACTTTAAAGGTAGACCCATCTTTCATGTTCTTGATTTCTATTGCGCCTTGGCTATGTACTTGATGTACTATTAACGATCCTGACCATCTAGACTTCAGCTTTCCTGGGAACAACTTGAGTCTTGAATTATAGAACAGTACTTGTTGTCTAGGAAAAAATTGTCTATGCAAAATTTTTCTGCCATGCCATCTTTTTTTTCTTTTCTGTGTAAAGGTAGGCATTTTCATACACCTGAGCTCTAAATTTGTCCATCTCATTTAGCTCCAACAATCTTCTCTCTCAAGTAAGTTTTGCATCCATGTTTAGTTTATTGATGGCACAAAAAGCTTTATATTCCAATTCCACGGGCAAATGTAATGCCTTGTAATATACTAAACTTGAACGGTGACATTCTGAGGGGCATTTTGAATGCAGTGCGGTAGGCCCACCGTGCCTCATTGAGCTTCGGCGACCAATCTTTGCTTTACACCTCGGGTTGACCACATTTTCAAAAATCTGCTTGATATCAGGATTAGAGACCTCATCTTGCCCATTAGTCTGGTAATGATATGCCATGGCAATTCTATGGCGCACCCCATATCTCTTCAACGACTATGCAATTAATTTGTTGTTGAAGTGAGTACCTTCATGACTGATAATTGTTCGTGGTGCTCCAAAACACGTGAATATGTTTTTGTGTAAGAATTTCAGCACGATCTTGGAATCATTGCAAGGTGTGGCCACAACTTCAACCCATTTGGAAAGATAGTCTAATGCCAAGAGTTTGTACAGATCACCAAAGGATGATGGGAAGGGTCCCATAAAGTCGATCCCCATACATTGACGAGTTCAACTTCCAAAATTTTTTTCCATTGCATCCCATTCATCTTCGATATATTCCCAGTGTGCTGGAAATAATCACATGACTTGTAGAAGTCATATGCATCTCTGAATAAGGTAGGCCAGTAGAAGTTAAATTGAAAGACCTTTGCAACAGTCCTCGTCCTACCAAAGTGCCCTCCACACTGGGATGTATGGAAATGAAATAGGATCTTCTTGTGTTCTTCTTTGTAGACACACCGTCGGATGATTCGATCTCCACACTACTTGAATAGGAATGGTTCATCCCAGTAACAGTGACATACATTATGTCTGAATTTTTTTATTCCCTGGCTAGATAAATCTGGAGGCATAATACCACTAACAAGAAAGTTAACTATGTTAGCGTACCACGGCACTGCCGCGGCAGATAAACTTTTCTCGTCATGGAAATCCTCTTGAATATCCTGTATATCATGGAAAATATTTATTTTCTCTAGCCTAGACAAGTGATATGGTACTTGGTTTACAGTACCCTTCTTATCCTTTACCTCCAAATCGAATTCTTCCAGCAATAATATCCATATAATAAGCTTAGGCTTTTCATCTTTTCTATTAACTAAGTACTTAATGGTAGAGTGATCATCATGCACTATGCCCTTAGTCATTATAAGATATGGCATAAACTTATCAAAAGCGAATACCACGACAAGATGGAAAAGTCATCCATAAATATTTCCATGAAGTTCTCCATCATATATGAGAAAATGGCTATCATACACCTCTGAAAAGTTGTTAGAGCATTACATAGTCTAAATGACATTCTTTTAAAGGCATAGGTGCCATATGGACAGGTGAAGGTGGTCTTCTCCTGATCTTCTGGTGCTATGGTGATCTTATTATACCCAGAATATCCGTCAAGGAAGTAGTAAAATTTCCATCCTGCTAACCGATCAAGCATTTGATCCATGAAATAAAGGGATAAGTGGTATTTCTTTGTACCTTGTTGAGATTTTTGTAATCCATGCAAATCCGCTAGCCCGTGACAGTTCTTGTAGGCAAAAGCTCATCATTTTCATTTTTTACCATAATCACTCCACCTTTCTTCGGTACACATTGAACTGAACTGACCCAAGATCTATCATATATTGGATAAATTACCCCAACATCAATTTATTTGATGATTTCCTTCATCACTACTATTTCCATTATCGGATTAAGTCTCTTTTTTGGTTCCAGTGAGTTGCTATGACAATTATGTAATTAGATCTTGTGCATGCATATTACAGGACTAATTCCATTTAAGTCTGCCATAGTCTGACCTAGAGCTTTTTTATGCTGTGATAAAACAATAAACAATCTACCTTCTTGCTCGAGGGAGTAAACTAGATTGTTCCTCCTCCAATGAATTGTCCTCAGCCTCTGCATTCACTTTATCTTCAGTATGTCTTTCATCTACTTCAGTAAAAAAAACTTGTGTCGAGGCAAATATCTTTAATGCCTCATTCAGATATGTTTTGCCTGGGAAAAAAATATTGTGTCCCTCTGAAAACATTTGTCTCGGCACAAATTGCCATACACATCAATATGGAAAAAATTTGTCTTTAATGTAATGGCATTCTTCAGAATCATCAACATATTTGAGAGTATTGGAGACATTGATCGTGACACTTTGATCAGCTACCCTCATCATGAACTCTCCCTTCTCACAATCTATTAGAATAATCTTGGTAGCTAAGAAGAGGCATCTGAGAATAATAGGTGCATTCTCATCAGCCTCACATTCTAAAATAAGAAAATCTACTGGGAAGACAAACTTTTCCACTTTAACAATCACATCTTCAAACCTGTCGTCAAGACGAACGTGTGATCGGTCAGCTAGTTGTAGAATCACGGTGGTTGGTCGAGCTTTACCCAATCCAAGCTTCAAATATATGGACTTTTGCATCATATTTACACTTGACACCAAGTCATAGAGAGCTCTTCCCACATATTTATCATTGATGGAACATGGTATAACAAAGCTGCCAGGATCTTTTTGCTTTGGCGGAAGTTTACTCATTGCTGAATAATATTATGTTACTGTGGCAATAGTTTCTACTCTTTCCACCTTCTTTTTTTATGACAATGTCCTTCAAGAATTTGGCATAGGAAGGCATTTTCTCAATGGCTTCAAGTAGTGGAACATTGATATGCAACTGGTCAAGGACATCAACAAACTTTTTGAATTGTATCTCATCATTATGCTACCTCTGAGTGAAGGGTGTAGAGGTTTGGCTTCATCCGCTGTAGGTGGTGATGAAACTTTTTCCTTGACAAAAATAACTTTTTAACATCGGTTTGATGACTTGTTGAAACTGCGTCCTTTTCATTCTCCTTAGGCATTTCTTTTTGTTCAACATTTTCTCTTTGACCTTCAGATTCTTGATATGTAGTGCATTGGAAAGAAATTTCTTGCTTCTTTCCCCCAAACTTATCATCAAGATTAATTCGGGTACCACTCCTAAGTGTAAGCGCACTGCATTACTCCTTCCCATGAGGATTAGTGACCTGAGTATCATTAGAGAGGGTTCTTTGAGGCTGAGAATATACTGATGTGGCTATTTGGCCACCTTGATTCTTTAACGCTATTAATGATGAACTATGGCTTTGTAATAAATCTGCTTGGCTTTGTAATAAAGCACATTGATTCTTGATTATCGATGAGTGCTCCTATATCAAGGTCTTTGTTGAAGCCATGAAATCTTTTGTCGAGGCCATAAATTCCTACAGTAAAGCTTCAAGGGGTTAGAATTTGACGAAGATGCATTACTTTTATTGTTACCTTGTCAGGGCATCTGTTGATGTTGCGAATTTGAGTGTTCAAAAATGTTTTATTGTGGCATATTAAAATTGCCTACATAATTGTTATTGTTGTTCCCTTGATTACCCCACGAAAAATTTGGATGTTGTCTCCATCCAGGATTGTATGTATTAGAGTAAGGGTTGTTGTTGCTTCTGTTGAAGTTTTCCTTGATATTTATGGACTCCTAGTTCTTTGTGCTTTCACTCTCATGATAGTTGTCACGGAAAAAATGCATGCTGAGTTAGTTTTCTTGATTTCTTTCACCTCACTAGAACATTGTAAATTTTTCAGCATGTTATGGTAGAAAGTTGGGTAGAAATTGAATCCTTACTGTCAAATTCATATGCCCTAGATATTTTCTTACTGGTTCTAAGCCTTGCAGACGGGAATTGATAGACATTATTAGTTATCCGATTGAGGATATCAAAGGCTTTCTCAGGTTATTTATTGAGCAAAGTGTGATTTGTCGATTCATCCAACATCATGTGAGTAGATACATTGACACCGTTATAAAACATGACGACATGAGTCCATTTATGGAATACATGGTTAGTGCACTTGCGAAGCAAACTTTTGTATTTGTCCCAGAATCCATACATATATTCATCATCACTTTGGTGAAAACTTACAATGTCATTGCGAAGTTGGGTGTGCATATTGGGCGGGTTATATCTAAGTAGGAACTTTTTGCATAAGTCAGCCCAAGATTCCATTAAGTCGAATGAGACTCCATTCAACCACACTCTTGCTCAGTCGCACAAAGAGTATGGGAATTATTTTAGTTTTAGCACATCCTCGTGCATACCTTGTTATCTAAACGAGTCACACACTTCAAGGAAAGCACACACATGTTGTCTAGCATCTTTATTAGGCAAGCCACAAAATTGACCGATAGAATTGAGCATGTTAAGCATCATCGGCTTGACTTCGAAGTGAGCTGCCTGTATTTCTGGTGCCACGATTCTGGGGTTAATATCATCGAGAATATGATTTAAGTGATCTCGTATAGCTCGTGGTCTTGCAGCATTTTAGGGAATATTTTTGTTGTGACATTGGGATTTGCCTGGTCTTTCATATTATTATCAGCTTGATACTGCAGTCGATTCATATATTCTCTGGCACGCTAAGTACATCATCTTTGTCTGAATGACTATTCAATCTCAAGGTCGAATGGTATTAATGATTTGTCAGCAGATCTCCTGGTCATACAACGACAATACCCTACAAAAGAAAATAAGAAAACATACGAGCTAAACTAAATAATAAAAAAAATGTGACAAAAAAATAAAAATTTATTATGGCAGAAATTATCAAAATTCTTGAAGTTGCCAATCCCTGGCAACGGAGCAAAAAACTTGATCGCTTGTAAATGTATATGCTAAGGCAAGTAAATTTGTACAAGTGTACACAATCGATGCTAGTAATATAGTAGTAAGTTGAGTATAATCTGCACAAGGATTAGTGGAAATTTTTGATGTTTTGCTACAGCTAGAACTAGGTGTCACAAGCTAGTCCTACAATTCTTGTCAAAGAGGAAGGCAAACAGGAACAAATGGTATAAACATATGGAAAAGTATTGTCGAGGCAAGAAATATTGTAAAGTATGTTGTGCAGAAAAGTTTGGTTGAGATAAGAAAATTATGAAAAAGTAAACAAATAAAACTTATCGAAGCAAATAAAAATGTTAAGTTCAGTATATTCACAAAAACCTCACATAATTAGACTTCTTATGGAGCACTTAGGTTGGTTTTTCTATGGCGAGAAGTTATTTTATTCTAATAATGATTTAGTGCGCTATGCTTAGGCTGCCTGATAGGATTACTAGAGTATTCAAGGATGGTTGCTACGGCAATACTACTCGGCGTGAGCTACAACCCTTGGTTTTTAAAACTATTGTTGTGGCAATACCCCTCAGCGTAAACTGTAGTCTTTGCCTATCTTACTCAAGTATTTACCCTTTTTAGTCAAATGAAACCCTCTCATCATCTCTAAGGTGGATTAGAACATCACCATCCCAGATTAGTTTCGTTGTTCACGTAGATCTACTCTAACTCTCTCGATATTAGGCATCCATTCCTAGAAAATTGGCAATCTCTCAAAAGCTCTTATAAAGTCTAGGATTGTTTGCCAAGGCACTCGGTAATCTCTCAAAATCTCTTAAAGTGTCAAGGAAAAATATTTAAATAATGAACAAAACAACACTTAGCATAAACAAACTGCATCACTCATTAACAAGCAAATAACGTTCAACAAAATAATAACCAACACCAAGTAAAACTGTTCATGGTGCGGAGAATATCATCCAAAAATCATTCTTTTAAGTACATCCCTTAATGGTATATGAAGATGAAGAACAAAGGGAGAAACACTCCCTAACAAGAACTCTACCAGACATTCTGACCACCACTACGCCTGCTCCAGCGGCCTGCCTCTCTCGAGGGTCTAGTCGCTATTCCGACGAAGACTGACTGTAGAGGGCACCAAGAATGGTTGAGTGGGAACAATGGAAACTAGGGTGTTGTAGTCTCTTACTCCAAGCCTAGGGTATATTATACCCTTGATTACACCGCCTTTTGAAAAGCTATAATGACGTATTTAAAATGAAAAATTTTATGGTTTAGTGCCCATGGAAATTCCCTAAATACCCTCATTGACATACCCATTTTATAAACAACATAGAAGCTGGAAGTGGTCAATTTCCTTGATGAGGACATGATTATGCGTGAAGATGAAGCTAGGCAAGTGACGTCGCCAGTTCTGTTGAGCCACGTCAGACTTGCAATATAAACCTTGCCTTGGCAAGAAAATCTGTTCCTAAGTGTCATCTTCTTGTGTTCCTCCAGCCCTAGAGAATTGTTTTGTTTCGACAAATAAATTCCTCATTAGTCATTTCCTGCATCAACACAACCAACCGACAACCTTCCTCTAAAGCATCATCAGTAGAACCAAATAAAGTTTGCCTCGATAAAACTTATCCACCATATACAAATGTATACTACATGCAACTATATGCAACTAAAATACTATGACAAATGGCTTTTAGGTAAACAATATCCTAAGTAAAAAAACCTAGAACATAGTGTTTTACAGAGTTATCAAACCATAAATATACTATCTCAACCTTTCTTGGTACGAGGTAAGCCCAAAATAAAGTCCATAGAGAGATCAATCCAAGGAGAAGAAAAGATGGGAAGATGCTTGTATAAGCCATTGGGATTTACCTTAAACTTTGATTGTTTGCATGTGATGCATGAAACACATACTTTTTCCATGGTTTACCTCACATGTAGCCAGAAGAAGTGTTATTGAACCATGTCAAGTGTTTTATTAACACTAAAGTGTCCCATTAGTCCTCTGAAATGAGACTCATGGACTAGGAATTCCTTTAATGATCCTTGTGGTATGCATAACTTGTTCATTCGAAAAAAAACCATCTACAAGATAAAACTTCTTAAAAGCACGTTTTGAACAATGGTTGTAAATCTCATATATATTTGGGTAAGAAGAATAAAGATCTTTGATGTGTTCAAAAGCTAAAATAGTAGCATGCATTTGCGTAATAATTTTTTACCTTCAGGATAATACACAAGCTATAATGTTATCTTTCCCTTGCTTGTATTTAATCACATAAAGGAAAGATTCAATAACTTCAACCAATCGAGCATGTCATTTTCTTAACTTACCTTGACTGTTTAACCACTTTAATGATTGATAGTCTGTGTGTATGATAAACTCTTTAAGAAGAAGTTAATGATGCCCCACTTCAAGTGTATGAACAAGTGAAAGGAGTTATTTGTCATAGGTAGAGTAGTTCAGTTGTACACCTTTCAACTTCTCGTTAAAGTAAGTGATATGTTGTTTTCCTGCATAAGTATTGCACCTATGCCTATTTCTGAATCATCACATTCTAACTCGAAGGTGTTAGAAAAGTCGGAAAGACAAAGAATGGGTATAAAAAATAACTTACCTTTTAACAAGTCAAATGCCTCTTGTTGTTTTGGACCTCATTAGAAGTCAGCCAATTTCTTGATGATTTTCATCAAAGGTGTAGAAATGGTAAAGAAGTCTTTGATAAAACGTCGATAAAAGCTTGCTAAATCGTGGAAATATCTTACCTCAGATATGGAAGATTACGTGGGCTATTCTTGTATGGATTTGATCTTTAATTATCTATATGGATTCCCTGTGCACTGACTATAAAGCCTAAAAAGATAAGC